ACCCAACATTTTTCTTGAAGCTTGAATCGAAGAAACTCAAGTATTTTTTGAAGAAGGAAGGCACAAGAGAAGCCGCGGAATACGTTTGGCAAAATTGCATTTTTGATGTGTTTTGCCAGAAAAAATTGGCTGGAGGCTGCGCCCCCAGACCCCGCTTACTTATGTAAATAAGTGTTTCCACCAGCTGATCCAGGTGCCAACGTTTGCTTTGTAAGACGTAAGGGTCGGAAATACCGATGTGTATGATGGTGCTTCAAAGTGGACGCTGACGTGTTTATGGCTCTGGCGCGGAAACAGGGCACCTGGCCCGCCCCTGAATCGGGCCAAATGGAAAGCGTCTTGGATCGCATTGATTCTTTTGTTGCGGCATTTGCAGGTGAGGAAGCATGCAAAAGGCATAGTTCATTTGGTTGAGTCTGAGCAGAACAACACTTGAGGTTGTTCTGAGATATAGTACATCCCGGTGGCAACAAGGCCCCTCTGCAAGTGCAGCCGTCATCCAGGAAACATGTGTGTCTTTGTCATAGTTCCAATCTGTCCGGTGAGTACAGGCTTACATCACGCGCAGGCCCTTTGGGGCTGAACTGTGTCTGTCTCAGATGACTTTGGTCGTTTGTGCAGCAAGCAGATCCAAGATCGATGTCCCATGAGTTACGGCTACATCACCGTTCGGATGCCGCAATGTTTCCCTGCACGTACTGCTGGCGGTAACCTGTTTTTTGTGTTGTGCACTATTGTCACGGTGCATGTTTGTCCGCGTGACGACGATACATGTTTCAGCTTTAAGCTGGAACATCACAAGTAGCTCATTTCTGGCTACGCTGTCTGGCGCGATGCTAAGGCGGGCATCTTGCAAATCATGGCAATGTCCTCAGAAAGATGTTGTTGCAGCGACAATGTAGACGCTGCTGTTCAGGTTTCCCCTTTGTTTCTCAAACTTGCTGTTTGCAGAGGCAAGGCTTGCCGCCTTCACAATTCTATGCTTAGCTGATGCGCACCAGGATGCTGCCTCAGAGACCACGTCTCATTCACAGGAAGCATGGGGAACATCAACACTGATAGCCTCCTTGTGCAGCCAGTATGGTCTAAAGTTTAAGGGTGGTTTGGTTTAAGGTCCCTTAACCCTAAACCGCTTCAAGACTGGAGGTGGGCTCGCCGAGGTTTCCACAGCAGGACTGCAACCTTAGATCTGCGTGAGATGACGGACGAGCCTGCGGAGCCAAGCACGCGGCTTCTACCTCATCGAAAGATCCCTGTTTCAGACATTTGTTTTGCGCGCTGGACGGCAGAAAGCAGGAATCGGCAGAACTTGTGAACAGCTTGTTGAACTGTTACGTTGATGATTCGGTACAAGTTCTTTTCGCTGTGGATCTTGTTGTCGATGCCTGTATCATCTTCGTGTTGACCGTTGTGATGATGCTCTTGACCAATTTTTGTTACGCTTGCTACATGCATTGTCCAAATCATGGTAGGGTCCTTGGCCCTACACATTGGGATCCTTTTTGGAACGCTTTGAAAAAGGGGACCTGGTGTTTTGAGAAATACCCCACGCCACTGGAGAAAGCTCTGGCAGGAGGAAGCCGGGCTGTTGCAACCAGACCAGGCCTGGTTTGGCAGTTCTCTCCAAATTCAGGGTTACCTTATTCAGTGATTCTTGTAACACGGATTCGTGGATCCCATGTTTCAAAATCTGTATATTAGTTTCCCTATTGCAGGTCAAATCCTTTTGCTTCAGGGTCTTCAGGTCTCGCAGAGTCTCGTCGTAGGTGCAGAAGTACGAGCAGGGTGAAGTTTTTCTTTGGCGTGAAGTCGATGATATGGTGCTGGTTCAGACAATTCTGCGACAGCAGGAACGTCCGCCGTAACGAACAGACAGACAACAAGGACTAGGGCGACGAGGAAGAGGAGGAGGAGGAGGA